AATGGGACTAGTGAGTGAGGTCGACAACTCAGCGCATTTTCTCCTCACTATAAACAATCTGGCACGCTTGAAGCTATCACGGTGCGCTGAAAGTCCTAGCTTGGAAGTCTGTCAGCTGAGGGGTTAACTCGGACCTCGTAGTCAACCCAGTGTGTGTTTGTGTGGAGTGGCGGACTGGTGAACTGAGAGTTCGACTGAAATGGCTCCCTCTTAATATGGCCTCTACCTCACCACTGCGTGGGCTCCGAGCCGGGTGTGGTGGCACACTTAGCGGCGGCTCTGACCACCTGCGCCCTCTCGCACCTCCGATCTTGACTCTGTCTTTAAATCGGATCTAGATGCGAAAGAAGGAAGAGGGAGTGAGATAGATGCTGTGCAAGTCACTGTCTATGCTCTCACCCCGCTGTGGAGCACACGATGGACATCGCCGAAACCGACTATGTTTTATCCATATGCCCTGTACCTTTGCCTGCTAATACTTTTCCTTCGGAAATAATACACAAATATTCTCACCATCATTCAGAGGGAGAGCGAGAGAGAGAGAGAGGAATGCTTTATTTTGAAAATAACTTTCTAAACTTTCAGCAAAAACGGTTCTCCAGTACACAGTTATTACCATAGAGATTAACAGGTATTGGACAGGTGGACATAATTATATATGAAGAAAAAAGGACTTTAAGGTGCAAGATCGAGTTTTAGTTTTTGTTTTTCAACATCTTTGCAGGTGAGGTACCGGGCTAGAAATGGCAGTATGGAATTCCGATAGGCCGAAGTGCGGCAACGGATGTGGCGGAAGCATCGACGCATGGGGCGTAAGGATTTCGCAGCCATTAACTCATTATGAAGGGGATGGACGCTGTCATTCAGAATTCGGTCAGCGAATGCTCCACCGAGTTGAAGTGTCGCTGCACGATGATATCAACTAAAATATGATAGGAAACACCAGCAACAGAGGCGAGCATTCGAATGACACGTTTAAAAATAATTAGATCTTTTTAAAGTAAAGTTGGAAAAATAACTGCGCATATACTGATAGTTCAATCGTACTGTCTGTAATACAAGTGTGTTTGTACAAGGAAATAACATTGCACCTGCCATTAAAGTGGCTTTAGACCCGCTGCCGCTCGCGTCTAAGCGCGAATTAGCTCTCGTCTGATTTTTTATTATTTGAGCCCTCTTAGTTGCTTCCGGAGGAAATCACTCAGCTATCCTCCTATTTGCCACGCCAACGGCTCTTCACGAGTGTGCCAGTGGCCTGTCCGCGCCTGACGTAGACAGAAACGGCGGTGGCGGTGGCGGCGAAGTTAAAGCCTGCCGCTGCTGTGGGCCACGCGCGGTCGGGAGGGGGGGTGGGGCATCCGGGACATCGACCTGCTCAGTCAACGCATATCATACTGCAACCTGACGTCGTCTCCCCCCCCCCACCGCCACCGCCGCCCCTTCTGCTATTAATGCCGTCACGGCCAGACGACTCACGCCTCGCAGCCGTCACCTCCAGTGTGTGCTGACTCCGCGTCGGAGGGCCCCAGTCCAGAGGGGTGGGGGTGGAGCTACTTTGCCTCCGCCCCCCCCCACCCACCCCCTGTCGCTGCACTGGCACGAGCGCGCTGTGTCTGTTGCCCACGGAGGACAAAGAAGGCACACACACACACCGTGCGTGTGCTACGCCCACCTCCGGTCGTCTTGGCTTTATCTTACCCCACCGGAAGGCGGCGGCGGCGGCGGCGGCGGGTGGGGCAGAGTGGAGCGAAGCAGAGGCAACGCAAGTCTGCTTCGCTGTGCACAGAAGACTCCTGCGCAAGTGACATTGGCGTGCTCACCCAGTGGGTGGCGAGGGAGGAGTTCACTGTGGTCGAACCATCGTTACATTATCTTTTGGCCAACAATGACAGCTAACTGCGGAAGCTGGCAGGGTTACATCGCGCTGCAGTTTGCAGGGCTTTCCCTTTCGTTGTTGGTGGAGTGACTGCTTAAAAATATGCTGGGAATGAACAGTACAGCTGGGTATGGCTGCATTCAGGAAGATGCGATCACTGGAACAGGAAGTTTATTGGCCTGACGTTTCGGATTCTCACTCGAACCCATCATCAGAGACGGTTGCAGATAACGGTTGTGGAGGCACAAAGACTGCAGTACGTAGCTGCCGCGGGGCCACATGCGCACAGCTCTCGCGATCGCCGCTGGAGGTCGTAATTTAGGCGATGAGGGCTCGTCAGTCCGCGTCCGAGCCGTTAATTGCCTTGATTTCGTCATCTGCGTTGGATGCTGACATGATGGTTACTCGGCGATTTGTTCCCTTGTCACCAGGATAGTTGAGCGTCCGCCCCCTCCCCGCGTGACTGATTTCCCTGCTCAGGGAATGTCTAAACAGTGAATATGGTAGCGGGAGGTCATTTCGCTTGTTGGTGGATTGCGGGCCTGAGTACCATGATTGCAGCAGCTCGCGGTTCACGTGATTGTCAGCTCTTGCGAGCACTTCGACCTCTTGAAACTTAAAACTATGGCCGGGTTCCGTGAAATGAGTTGCTACCTGAGAGCTGGCGTTTTTCTTCCTCCTCACCGCCGTTGCGTGCTCAACATGCGCGTCCAGAGTAATCTCCCATGGGGTAATAGATGAAATCTAATTGGATGATCTCGTCCGCTCGTGTACGTATCAAGTTGGCCAGCCTTATGTTCATTTTTCTTGTCACAGAGTTAGGCCTTGTTCCGTGGTTTAAGATCGCCCGGTGTATGACAGTTGAGGAGAACTCGGTGATTTTGTAACACAGACAGAAGGACGAACTCGACTACAGTTGAAAAGCTAGTAGTAGGTGGTAATGCTGCAAGCCGCGTTGGCAGAACTGCCTGCAGTTGCCGGCGGAACTTTAGTCTCAACAGTAGTTTATACTTTTTCAGACTAAAAAAAACGTGTATCATGTTTATTTACACTTTATACTTCTTGACTTTTTCTGCAAACCTTACCAATTGTGAAAAAGGAAGAATGGCGTTCACCGCGAGAGGTTTATTTGAGGTCTGACATATTCCTGAAGAAGAAGGCATGATCGCTGACGTTTCGGATTCCTGCTCAAACCCATCATCAGAGACAAAAACAGATACCGGTGGTTCATGCACAAGGGGCTGCAGTATTTATAGGATGCAGTCGCCATGCTACCGCATGCCTGCGAATATTCAAGGCTCCCCCCTTCATCAGGGATCGTTGCACGTGGTGTGATAACTGTTTGATGGCCAACATTCGCGTCATTAACTGCTGCAATTAGATGTGGGATGTTTGTGTGATGATTGCTCGACCATCTGGCGCGCTGACCCTGGAAAAAGTGTTCACCCGTGCGCTCCTCGCGTGGCTAATTACTCCGCCTAGGCGAAGTCTCAGCACCGAGTATGGAAGGGGAAGTTCATTGCACTTGTTAATAGACCGGGGGCCAGTAAACCATGACTCAAGCAGCCACCGGCTCACGCGGCCGTCACCTCTGGCGAGAATTTCGATCTCGTCGGATCTGACGCACACTCTTCTCACTCACCTGAGCCCAGTGTCCAGACAGAGTCTAGAAGGCCGGAGGCGGGGGGGGGGGAGGGTGCAGATGGCTAGCGCGGTCGTGCCCGTACCTTGGCGTTCCACCCCATACCTCCTGGTCCACAACAAACGCTTGGCCAGAATTTTAACCAAAAGCAACAACACCACGACTGGGCGGCCATGCCCGCGGCCTGTACCCAGCGGGAGCGCATGCGCATCTATCAGCAGAGAACCAGGTGTCGGTGAAGTGCCAACGCATATCAGGCTGCCAGGGCCGTGGTTTGCTGATCCTGTCATAGCAGACGCTTGCAGGCCTTTAGGCCCAGTGGCCATATAAAAACTAACATATTGCTCGAACTGTTACTGTTTTGAAAAGCCAAGTTGGCAAACACGTGTTTTCGGTAATTCTTCATCAGTTACATGAAGGAATGAAAATGTACAAAATTTACCAGTGCTCATAGGTGTTTCAAGGGCAATTAAGTCATTAACACTCATCTTCCCCACGCCGCCGGCATTACGAGGTCGGCGGGTTTTGGTCCTTAGAGCTGGGGGAGGGGGGTGAGAGAGACTTTGAATGATGTTCTTGGATTGAGTACACGGAGTACCCATCACTGTAATTAGTGATTTGAAGCGGCATGTCGTCATCACTTGAGGTTGACGTTGGCCACGGCAAAGAGAGCGCTTGTGTCAGGGCTTTCTGACTGCATAACACCGGATTCGTTAGCCGTATAGCCACTGCCTCTGCCGTTGCTAGTATCCGTCGGCGTAGGCCTTTAGAGAAGCACGTTGGTGTCCGATAGACAACCTGAAATGCTTTCTTGACATCGACCCGGTGATCCGTATCGATTACATACACGAAATCGATTGGGTTTCACCTCTGTCTAGCCAGGCGGGCATATGTTCACGCTGTTTTACTGTTTTGCCCGTTCCGTCCCTAAATTGCATATAAACAGAAACCAGATCGCACGAAAGGTATCTTTCCATATGCTCGAAATATAAAATGACTATCCGATGATGGCCATTTTGACGGTAACTCAGAGTCTTTTCGCAAAATACCGACACATTTAATCAAGTGATTGCCTGTAGGCATTAGTACTGCACTTTGGGATGCAAAATCACACAGCTTTACAAACGTGACTTTGTACTATCGATACAACGTCGGGTTTTCTAAAAATAACCTCTTCGTTCATTGCCAGTTTCTCGCAGTTTTCCTCCGAGAACAAAGCAAGATTGAAGCACCGAAAGTCTTGTTTGGGAAAGCTTGCGAACGACGGTAGAACTATCGGAGGCACAAAGACTGCAGTATCTATGACAAGTAACGGCCGTGGAACCACATACGTATTATAATTAAGCGCCCTTGCGATCTCCGCTGAGGGTCGTAATTAAGACGATGATAGCCCGTCAGACCGCGTCCGAATTGTTAATTGCCGCAATTTCATCATCTGTGCTGGATGTTTACGTGATGAGTACTCTGCCATTTGACCCGCGGTCACCAGGATAGTTGAGCGTCCGGGCCCTCCCCATCATCATCATCATCATCATCATCATCATCATCATCATCATCATCATCATCATCATCATCATCATCATCATCATCATCATCATCATCATCATCATCATCATCATCATCATCATCATCATCATCATCATCATCATCAGAGACGGTTGCGGGTAAAGTTAGTGAGGGCACAAAGAGTTCAGTATTTATAGTACGTAACTACCTTGAGGCTACAAGCGTATTTTAATTAACAGTTCTCGCGACCACCGCCGGAGGTCGTAATTAAGGCGATGATAGCTCGTCCGTCCGCGTCCGAGTCGTTAATTGCCGCAATTTAATTATCCGCGCCCGATGTTGACGTGATGATTGCTCGGCCATTTGGCTCACTGGAATGGTTGCTTGCTTGCGCTCCCTCCACGTAACTGACTTCCCTGTCCAGGGAATGTCTCAGCACCGAATACGGTAACGGGAGGTCACTACGCTTGCTGATGAATTGCAGGCCTCATGATTCCAGCAGCTCGCGGCTCATGCGGTCGTCACCCCTTGCGAGGATTTTGATCTCTTGGACCTTGAAAATATGGCTGGGTCAGCCCAACAAAACCTTTTGATCGCGTCTTCTTCTGGTTCTGAAGTGCTTCCTGCAACTATCGCCTGTTCGCTTATACGGCTACATTGTTATTTCGTTGGATGAAAACAGAGATCCTGCTATCTCATGGGGATGGGTTTGTCGGTCTGTGCAGTGTCGTCTCGCTTGGAAGGCTAGCCACCGCGTTCAATCTCGTTAATGGTCTGCATGGGCGAGGAAGTGGGGCGGTCAGATCGCAGTTCGTAGTTCGGAATGGAGAAGCTAACCTAACACTAAAACCCCAACTCTAACCGTAACGCCTTGGGTAAAGCGCTAACCGTAAAACCTAACCCCGGCCTTAACCGTAAAACCTAACACTAAAACCCTAACCGTGAAACCTAAACCCTAAAGTATTAAACCTAAACCTAAACCCCACCACTATCCTTACCCCTATAACCTAACCCTAAACTTTGCCCTAAAGCCCTAACCCCAACTCAAAAAATTCTAAACCTAAACTAAAACCTCAGTCCTAGCCTTAGCCCTAAACCCTAACCTCAACCCTAAAACCTAACCCTAAACTTGACTCTGAAACATAACCCTAACCAAACAATCCTAACTCTAATACCAAACCCTAACATTAAACGTTAAACCTATATCTAACCTTAACCCTAAACTTAACCCTGAAACATAGCCCTAACCAAAAAATCCTAACACTAACATTAAACATTAAACCTAAATCTAACCTTAACCCTAAAACCTAACTCTAACCCTAACTATCACACTAAGACCTAACCCTATAACTTAATCCTGAGCCTAACCCTAACCCTCACTAAGCCCAATAACCTGACTGAAACAGGCGACCTGCCTAATTCGGTAGAAACACACCTACTGATAAGAAGGTTCCTCGATAAGGGAAACACACTCGTTGATTACAAGTAAGTACGTCGACAGTATCGCCTCACAATGTCTGGCTACGAACTGTGATCTTGCCAGTGGGGCTGTTACTGAGACACCCTTTCCCGCCTCCAATCAACAGCTGAGAGGTGACTATGAAGGTAGTGGTTACTTAAGTGAATTGTTTCCCACATTTGCTTATCAGGGCTAGAGTGGAATATGTCTGCCTCTGTCCTTGGTCGTAAGCTGATTGTAGCAAACGGGATTAGTGCACGCGCTGCACGTAGCATGCCCACAATTGACGCGATGCAGGAGGTAGTTGTGACAACCGTCGGCCCTAACAGCGGCAGGCGTTTGAGTAAAAAACCCCGTTGGCCCATAAGTGGACCCTCGGCCGCGCGGGACGCGCCTCCACTGTACACCTACACCAATCCTCCCTCGGCCGAGCGCCAACTCACCCCCGAAAGGTCGTTTTCCACACTCACGTTAGTTTGCTTGACTGTTTTCTGTCTGAATATGACGCTTCCTTT